GTGCGTGAAATTTTTAACTATTTTCCAATTGTTGAACTATTTTTGCATAGACAAAAGTACAAAGCCATGGAATTCATTAATAGGCAATCGTTCGATGGGCTGAATTGCAGAAAACGCATGGTCGCACCGGCTAGTCTGGTGCGCGTTGCTATTTATTTTACTGATTTCGTAATCCCTATTTCCCACCTTCCTCTCCGATTCTTCTTATTTCAGCCGTAGTTATTAACTACCTTTCTATTAAATGATGGGCAAAGAGTGTGTAGGTGTGTCGGGAGTAAAGCCAAGACCTGTGGTAATTGAGCTTATATTCTTATCGCTTTTGTTTTTTAGTTTAATAACCCAAATTTGAGTGAATAAAGACGGGTCAATCACTGATTTGCACATTATGCAGTCAGTGGTCTACTTGGAGGCCCTCGCAGGTTCAGTCGTTATCTTAAGCTGTTATCCAAATCGATGCTTGGATATAAAATCTGGACTGTCAATATAAACACCGATATCGGTGATATTACTGGGATGAACCCATACATTAACCATAGCTATGCGCGGTCCTTTTTCGGTCCTAATTTTTACACATATCCAAAGCAAATGTACTTAGACAGACCATGCCAAAAGCAAGAACTAATGAATCAAACACAAAACAATCTGTCATTAAAAAAAAAAAACCTGGAAAAAAGTTTCAACACGCATCTTTTGCAGTGTTCCATCGGGCCGTAGCTCATCCTCATACGTTTCTGATAATTTCAGAGTTACGAGATCACCCAGATGAGGATATGGGTGAACTGAAACACTAACATTTAAAATTTGCGCAGAATAGGAAAAGTTATTCATCACAAAAGACACATACATACATACATAAATACATACATATATACATACATATATACATACATATATACATACATATATACATACATATATACATACATATATACATACATACATACATACAGTACATACATACATACATACATACATACATACATACATACATACATACACACATACATTTCGGCGACACACTCACAGAAATTTGACACGTTCCGATCAGCCCATTACACGATTTTCGCAAAAAAAAAAGAAAAATACATAGTCAAAAATAACCAAAAAATTGGACCTTTGTTGCCGGACATGAAAATAGTGACCATACGATGGCCTTCTTCGTTCAAAACATTTGCACCAGCCAACATTTCTTCACACTGTCGTCGAACAAATGCATCACGCTGAGCGTGCTTTAATTTACGAATCAATTATAATGGGCAATTAGTTGATGAAAAAAAAAAAAAAAAACGACTAAAACTGATAATGCACGCCATTCGGTCAATGGAAAAAACGCCAGAACTTATAGTTATCGCGTATTTTTATGCATTTTGTGCTGCAACAGCGATGCAGAATGTGTATTAGTGAGGTGTGTGTGTGTATGTTTGTTCCGATCTTTTAACAAGAAAAGCTTAGAAAGACGAAATTTTAGAAGGATGTTCCCTGCCCATGTACGATACTTCGTGGGAATAACGCAAAAGCAAATAACGCTACTCTTTTTCCAGTGGTGGAGGGTTCGCTTCTGCCACTGTGTTTAACATATTTATTCGTTTTTATAATAAACTGGTAGTAGTATGTGTCTGGGGATTAAACCTCCCACTAGTT